TCTCAGTTTCTATTACAATAAATTCTTCATACCATTGGCGCCAGTGAGGGGGAAAATTTAATTAAAAATTTAATTTTAAGTTACTTGGGTGAATCACATCATCGATAATTTATTCTTCGAAACATGACGATAATAATTATACGAATAAACCTTTCAATAAATAAATAAAATTCAAAGTAACTTTACTCTAAATTTTTAAACTCAGTCATCTATTTGCATATTATTGCACGCAAAAAGATTCTACGATGGAGTAAAAATAAAATATAATATTTTTCCTTCCATCAGCATCGCTCGAATTATCCACCATCTTCTCCCATTATCGACGGAGAAACATCCCCCCAGAAATTGAAGGGAAATTCGTCGTTAAACCGTCTCCGTATCGACATCCCGTCATTGATACCGCGTAACGAGGCGAATATTTTTTTCCTTTCGAGGAAAAGAAAGAAGAAGAAGAAGAAGAAGAAGAAAAAACACTCGAACCTCCGGGACGGTTATTATTATGTATTATACTCGCGGAGGGTGTAGGAATAAATTGAACGAGTCGTGGCTCTCGCGGTGCTCCCCGTTGGATGGGATTTGAAACGCTGTGGTAATGGCTACTACTTACACATCCGGGAATAGGCGAAGTCGTTCCAGCGAACGGAAACGGGCGCGGATCGATGGAACGAGTTCGAGTGTGGAACTCTCCTCGTTTCCTCGAAATTTCATGTATGCATGTACGTGAATATAGTAATAGTCCGTGATTTCTATCGGTGAAGAATATCTTTAAAAAATATCTCCTCTCGAGGAATAAATTTGTAAAATTTTAGCAAAATATTATGAGAAAGTAAAGTGATAAAGTGGTTTTTTTGTAATTTTACTATCGTTTCCTTGGAATTTTCTGAATAATAGAATATTATTCTTAATGTGATTTTTAAAAAAATATTTCTTCTAGGAAAGAATTGGTAAATTCGAAAAATTTTAGCAAAATATTGTGAAGACAAAAATAAAGTAGTAAAGTGGTTTTTTGAAAAAGGTCTTCACATTTCACACGATCTTCATCTCGCAAAATTAATTTTACTATCGTTTTCTTGGAATTTTCTGAATTTTTTAAAAAATATTTCTTCTATGAAAGAATCGGTAAATTCGAAAAATTTTAGCAAAATATTATGAAGAGAAAAACAAAATAGTAAAATGATTTTTTGAAAAATTCTTCACATTTCACATCTTCATCTCGCAAAATTAATTTTACTATCGTTTTCTCGAAATTTTCTGAATTTTTTAAAAAATATTTCTTCACGAAAGAATTGGTAAATTTATAAAATTTTACCAAAATATTATGAGGATGAAAACAAAATGGTAAAGTGGTTTTTTGAAAAATTCTTCACATTTCACACGATCTTCATCTCGCAAAATTAATTTTACTATCGTTTTCTTGGAATTTTCTGAATTTTTTAAAAAATATTTCTTCTATGAAAGAATCGGTAAATTCGAAAAATTTTACCAAAATATTATGAAGACAAAATGGTAAAATTTTTAAGAGAGTTCCTTTTTCGATAAAAATTATTCTCAACTGGACTTTCTTAAAGCTTAAAGCTTCGTTAACATACGCTCTTCCATCACAAAATTAATTTTACTACAGTTTCCTCGGAATTTTCTGAATGGCAGAATCTGATTTTTAAAAAAACATTTCTTTTAGAAAAGAATTGATAAATTCGTAAAATTTATTGGCAAAATAGCAATAGAAACGAAAGCAAAACGAGCTTTAGAAAATTTTTTTCTCTTTCCAATTACAATAATCTTTCGACTTACTCTCATTCACAAAAAATACGCTCAAAGTATTCTCACCTTAAAGCTTCTTCACCGACGTACCGATTTCACACAAGTTTCTCGCCCCATCGAGTATCCATCGCAAAATTAATTCTATATAACCACATATACACCTGTATACACAAACACGATTCACACGAAAAGACGAAGACTAGAAGACTGGCGCGAAATCGAGGACTGACAACGAGACGACTCGGGATAATTGCCTCGAAGAAGTAGATTCCCCGTTGGACTTTTAAAATTAGCTAATCTCGGGTAGGGGACGCGGTTGAAAGCAATGTAACAAGTAGAATTCTCGGGGACGGTAGAAAAAGAGGTCGACGATCGGGATGGAGGAGGAGGAGGAGGAGGAACCGAGTCGACCAAAATGGATCCCCGGAACAAGAAAGACCTCGTCCCCCGCCCTCCCCAACCTTCCTCCCAACCTTTCACTGACAACTATGCGCGAGCAAAATAGCCGACTGGACAGGGGGTAAATAAAACTAGGGGGTAAAATGTGTCAACGAGACGGTTATTCGTGGAATGGAATTGTCGCCAAACACGAGAGACAAAAGTTACCTCGCGATCCTTCCACACATTTCTTTTCCCTCTTTTTCCCATCCACGGGAAAGAAAAAAGAATCCAATACAATTTTTAGCCTGGACAAACCGCTTTAACTTCGCGCGCAATTCACTCGAATATTTCCTCTCCTCGATAACGTCGCAGTAACAACGATGATCCAAAGATGAGACTCGAGAGAGAAGAAGAATCCACGTCCACTTTTTTTACGGCGCTATTTCGCGCGATCAAAGGAAGAAGAAACTTCTAAAACTGCAGTAAAGAAAGTAAAGGGAAAAAAGAGAGAGAGAGAGAGACGACAGTGGGAAGCAACTCTGGCGGAAAGTTATTAGCTTAAGCTTCCATAGAAAGCTCTCGCGTGTCTGAGAGCGGTTGAAAAGTTCAGAGCGGAAGAGCTTCGATTAGGCTTCTCTCTTTCTTTCTAGATCCTTCTTTCTCCACTACGATATTCCCTTCGCGATAACGCGAACGCGGTTTAATAGAGGAGGACGTCCTCTCGATCGCGTGACCGGAAGCGGAGAATTCACGTCGACGCGTGAAAATATCCACTGGCGCGCTCGAGAAATATAATAATCCTCCTATATACCTTCTTTTCCCTCCTTTTTCCTCCCCTAGAAAAATCTACAGATTAAATTATCGTTCCTTTCTTTCTGTCGCAAAAGAAAAAAAAATTCAAAAAACCCCTCTCTCCTTTTAATAATAACTCCCTCAAAATAGGCGAAGGAACTTGGATTTAATGCAATTTCGATCGAGCACAACAGAAATAGAAAGTCTTCAAAGGGACGCGAGGGGGGGATACAAACTTTCTAATCGAATTAGAGGGCTGGTGGCCAGCCCTTTGCCATTCCGAGCGCGCGATCAAACGCAACGACGCGCCACAACGACTCGCCTCCCTCCCCTCCACCTCTACGCGACGCGTGAACGCGATAAAAGCCGAGGCGAGGCAACCGAGAGACCAAACGGCCTGACCGCCGTTTGTTTGCCTTCTCCCCAGTGTACAACTTTCCGATTACGACTACTACTACTACTACTACTATTACTATTCTGTCCTCCTCCCCTTATTCTGATAATTCGCTCTCGAGTGACTCGCCAATTAACCGCCGCGCCACGAATCAGGGAATTCGTACGATTCCGTTTTTACACGTTGCGCTGTTTTATCATCGGATACTAGGTGTACTAGGCTGTGACGAGCGCTGAATTCAGTTTCTATCTCGTTCTCACTTTCGTCTTCTTGACTAGAGGCGTAACGTGCTCGAGTTTTATTCTCTTTGTTTTTCAATTGTTAAACTATGTGAGAGTTTTACAAGATTTTATTAGTAGATAGTGCAATTGAATTTGATATTAATTATTTTATTAATATTAAATTTTTTTGTAAATATTGATTTAATATTAATATTATATTATTTTAATATTCATTACTTTACTATTTAATATTCTATTATTTCTATGATTTAACGCAAATTTGTGGCTTCTAAAAAGATATATGTATGTATAAATTAATATGATATAATTCAATTTGTAATAATTATTATAAATTATATTAAAAAAAAGGATTCAAATGCAATCCTACGATCGAATAAGGTGAAATTTTAAGGGTAGGAGGGGAATACGCGCTCGATTTTTGTCGAATTCTTCGTTCTTCAATTGTTAAAACTATGTATGAGTTCAAGTTTTACAAGACTCTATTAATAAGTAATTGAATTTATATTCTATTACTTTAATATTCAATACTTTATAATTATATATTTATTTATTATATATATATATATATTTATTTATTTATATATATATTTAATATTCTATTACTTTAATATTCATTACTTTACTATTTAATAATTTAATAATTATTTAATAATAATAAATTTCTATTATTTCTATGATTTAACGCAAATTTGTGGCTTCTAAAAAGATATATGTACGTATAAATTAATATGATATAATTCAATTCGTAATAATTATTATAAATTATATAAAAAAAAGAATTAAACTCTACGATCGAATAAAGAGAAGGAGGGGAATACGCGCTCGAGTCCTCTTCGTTCTTCAATTGTTAAACTATGTGTGAATTTTACAAGATTCTATTAGTAAGTAATGCAATTAAATTTAATATTCTATTACATGATTGAACGCAAATTTGTGGCTATATAATTCAATTTGTAATAATTATTATAAATTATATTAAATAAATTATATTAAAATGCAATCCAACGATCGAATAAGATAAAATTTTGAGGGAAGGAAGGGGATACGCGATTAAAATATCTCGAAACCAATATTGGAAAATTGATATAAAAAGGAACTATAAAATAATATCCTTGACCAACTACAACGAAAGAAATATCATTCTTCGAATCATCTAATTTATTCATCCCACGTTTTATTTTTATCTATTTCCTATAAAATTTTCTATCCACTTGACACGCTACGGAACAAGAAATGCAAAATCCTGTGTTTAAAGAAAATTGCAACGAATTCACGAAATTCGCGAATTTTTGTAAGAAACGATTCTCTCGCGCGACGAAGAAGGAACGAGGAAAGAAAGAAAGAAAACCTAGCGGCTGATCCGGTCGAATTGGGCAGACTTTTCGCGATCGAGCCGAACTAAAGGATATAAAAGAAGGGAGCGTACTCACCGCCATGTCCTCGCTCCTGTAAGCCGTGAGGGTCTGTTCATCCTGGAGGAGGACGCAGTAACAAGGCTCCCAGCACGCCTCGCCCGTTGCCTCGCCAACGCAGCACTCGGCCTCTGGAAAAGAGAAAATAAAAAATAAAGATAAGTAAAAAGAGACGATCAGACGACCGTTCAATTTGCAATAATTATTATAAACTACATAAAAATTATACAAAAAATTAAAAATGTGGAAAAGATTGAAATGCAATCCTACGATCGAATAAGTGAAATTTTGATACGTATGCGATTAAAACGTCTCGAAACCGATGTGGAATGTAAGATCGGCGACGATAAGAATAATGGAAGCCTCGTCAATTATCCGCAACAGCCTGGCCGATTCGATCATCGATCGATAATTCTCGCCGAGGTATCGTCCTTGGATCTAAGATTCTTTTTCTCTGTATCCGTTACACGAGGGTGGAAAATCTGAGAGAGAAATTGTCGCAGAGAGAAACTTTGCCGAGGAGTGAAAATGAGGAGTTGGTGGAAATTTTATTCAGGGCGGAATTATGGAAATAGCGGGGCTATTTCCGGTGAAATTTCACGAAAGAGGGGAATATTATCGGCGATGGAATAATCCGTGCGGAATATTTTTAAAGGGTGGTATCTTATCTATCATCTCGTTCCGAGTGGATGAACTTTTTAACCCTTTGCCCTCCAACGGTTTCATGAATAGACAATATCTATTCGCCTTTGATTTTTTGGAATATCGTGAATATTTCTAAGCTGTTTATTGTATAATATGTTATCTTAGAATTTTTTTGAGATCTCAAATTAGATATCTTAGGCGTTTGTTCGAGTTTAACAGTCGTGGGAATAGAAATATTATTTTTCAAAGTTTTGTAAGTATGAAATATGAGTTTGATTTTTTGTTAATGAATAACGAAATTACTTTCATGCGTAAACAAATTAATGATAAAGAAAGCAACGATGAAGATGGAGATGAAATAAGAGGTATAAGTAAAAAATAAGAATAATAGATAGTGAATGGTTCAAGCGAAGATATCGCAGAAGACACAGAAAATTCCAAACAGATAGAATCGAAAAATATATACAATTTGTACTCTTCTTCTCAAGTATCTTGGAATATAAATGAACTATTAAAATAAACTGATAAATTCATTAATGAAATTCTCGAAAAAAATAATTATGCGATAAAAAAGATAAATTCGATAAATGTTCTTTCTTTGTATGCAAAGATACATAAAATATTAAAATACAAAAGTTTTATTGCTTTAATTTGAAATCATTTTAAATTAAGTAAGAAAACACCGAATGTCTGTTGGAGCGAAAAAGGTTTGAAAGGAATTGAAAAAGGATATCGAGAAAAGATTGCAAATTAACATAGCGCTCCTCGTGTCTCTGACCAGTGTCTGGTCGAAATTCAACAGGAAAATGCAGGACATCTAAAAGTTCGGTGCACCTGTCACGCGAATTATTATGTCCCCGCGCTTAATTACTCGAAACGTGTCCGGACTGTGCGTTACGCATTACTGGTTGCCACCCACTCAGGGGGCCGTCAAGGGGCCGAATACGTGCGCCCAAGAGGCGATCGACCCGCGCCCCGGGGACAGACCTGTGCAAATTAATTGCCTAATTTCGAAATCATCTCGGCCGAAACGTCGAGAGAATTCTCTGAATCAAACGAAATGAAATGGAAAAGGAAAATGGATCGAAACGAGAGGTAATACTTATTTAATTCTAATCTATTAACTTATTTATTTCTAAGTATTTACTTATTTATTTAATTCTAAGTATCCCTCGGTTGCTTGCTTGCTCTCCCTTGTTATAAATTACAATGGAGAGAGAAATTCATAAAGTGGACTTGTTTACGTAACGAAAGTTTTACGCGAGCCCAAACTGGATTATTTCCAGAGCGACGCGAGTTTTAAGTTTAAGCTTGACGCAGCGACTCGGTCGGTAATAAACCTTCGATAAATTATCCGACTGAATCCTGACCGCGTCTTCCACTACGCCTACGCTTATTACACGGAACAGATCATTTTGTCGATAAGCCTGTTAATCCGCCAGATTAATGGGGGAAATAACAGCTGCGATACTCGATTCTCACGATCGATAATGAGAGGGGGAGGGGGATTAAGACGTCCATCGCTTGCTTTTCTGTATGGATTCACGATATATATTACAACGTAGAAAAACTCTTTGGAGTTTCTCTAAAAATTTTCTCGGATAAATCAATTTCAAACTTTCACCAAAAATTTAATATATTGTTTCATTAATGAAGAGAAGGTTTTGCTATCCAATTTTGGACACAATATAATATTAGATAATTTTAAATTCGTTGACAATTTTGACGAAGTAGTGGAAAAGGTATAATTCGAATATTGAAAAATCGTAAAAATTATTTTTATTTATAAAGTTGTTATTAGAATAGTCATCTGAAAATTGAGATATTTATCTCGACTAAAATTTTGAATATAAAATTACATTGTTGACCGGGCAGTGAAAATATAATAAATAAAATGTACGGATTTAGCTGAATGAATATATTTAATTATACGCAATCGCGCGTATCTGTTTAGAAAATATTTAAAGTGTATCGAAGAGAAAAGAAATAGGTAGCAACTATGAAATAGTGATGCTGCTGGCAAAGTTCGATAATAAAATCACAAATAAAATTTCAGTGAACTTTAAATTCTGTAACGTACATTTATAAATTGAAACTATCGTTAATGCATCGAGAGTATTTAGATATAGATCGTCGTTTTATTGCCTCTTTTTCTCTGTCACAATTGGATTAGTATGTGTGACAAATACCAGAAACAAAAATGCGTGTGAAAATAGACGTTTCTTCCGCATTAGAGACCAATCTTTCCAATACTATCAATTACTTGCGAAATTAACTTCCACAAACCAAAAAAAAAAAAAAAATTCGAACGTAAAAGTATTCGCGTTAAAAATCAACTTCAAGAATTGAAATTCTCGAGATCGAAGTAATAATTAATTTGTTCGGCTGACGATTAACAAAATAAAAAAAAAAAAATTTGGATGCAAAAGTGTTACTTGTGCCAAAAATCAACTTCGAGAAATAGGATTGAAATATTCGAGCAATTAATTTACTCGATCGAAGATTAACAAAAAAAAAAAATTCGCAAAAACATTATTCGTGACAATTAATTTGCTCGGCGGAAGATTAACAAAAAAAAAAAAAAAAAAAAATTCGAACGCTAAAGCATTACTTGTGCCAAAAATCACTTTCGAGAAACAGGATTGAAATTCTCGAGATCAAACGAATAATTAATTTTCTTGGCCGAAGATTAACAAAATAAAAAAAAAATTCGAACGCTAAAGCATTACTTGTGCCAAAAATCAATATCGAGAAATAGAATTGAAATTCTCGAGCAATTAATTTTCTTAACCGAAAATTAACAAAAAAAAAAAAAAATTTGGATGCAAAAGCATTACTCGCGCCAAAAATCAATTTTGAGAAACAAGATTGAATTCTTGAGATCGAAGCAATTAATTTGCTCGGTCGAAGATTAACAAAAAAAAAAAATTTGGACTCAAAAATGTTACTCGCTTTAAAAATCAACTTTGAGAAACAAGATTGAAATTTTCGAGATCGAAGCAATTAATTTAGCCGAAGATTAACAAAAAAAAAAATTTGAATGGCAAAAGCATAACTCACACCAAAAATCAATTTCAAGAAACAAGATTGAAATTCTCGAGATCGAACGAGCAATTAATTTTCTCGACCAAAGATTAAAAAAAAAAAAAAATTTGGATACAAAAGCATAACTCACACCAAAAATCAATCAAGATTAACAAAAAAGAAAAAAAAAAATTCGGACTTAAACATGTTACTCACGCCAAAAAAATCACTTTCGAGAAACAGGATCGAAATTCTCGAGATCGAAATAACAATTAATAATTAATTTTAATAATGAATAATTAATTTTCTCAACCGAAGATTAACAAAAGAAAAAAATTTGGATGCAAAAGCATAACTCACACCAAAAATCAATCAAGATTAACAAAAAAGAAAAAAAAAATTCGGACTCAAACCTGTTACCCACGCCAAAAAAATCACTTTCGAGAAACAGGATCGAAATTCTCGAGATCGAAATAACAATTAATAATTAATTTTAATAATGAATAATTAATTTTCTCAACCGAAAATTAACAAAAAAAAAAAAAAATTTGGATGCAAAAGCATAACTCACACCAAAAATCAATCAAGATTAACAAAAAAGAAAAAAAAAAATTCGGACTCAAAAATGTTACTCCCGCCAAAAAAATCACTTTCGAGAAACAGGATCGAAATTCTCGAGATCGAAATAACAATTAATAATTAATTTTAATAATGAATAATTAATTTTCTCGGCCGAAGATTAACAAAAAAAAAAAAAAAAAAAAAGAAAGAAAAAGGAATCGAGACACGCGAGTTGACGGTGATCTGGAAAAGGAGCAGCGCCGCGTCTCGCGAAAACAAGCATCGCGCCCTCGATGCTAATCCGGTCGCGAGAAAGCGTAACGCTGTGAGTGGGCTGAGAGCCGCGCTCCCGTCTTTTGGGGCGAGGGCTGAACAAATATCGATTCGACGTTTCCAGACGCGGTGGAACGCCTCCGTTTCCTTCCTTCCTTCCTTCCTTCCTTCCTTGAGAACGGTGCACCAGATTACAGAACCGCAGCCGCACGTGCATCGCCACGAGAGAGTCGTTGAATTTCGAGACGACGACGACGTTCTCTGTTCTCTATTTACGCGCACGTGCAAATCTTTCTCCCGCTTGGTTCTCGAACAAAGGGGAGAAAAGACCAGGAGACGAGAGTTTAACCCGTTTCCAAGCGTTCGAGAAGGGAGAAGAGTTTCAATTCGCCCGGAATAAATAAGCGAAGACTTCATTGGGGAAGGTCGAGGAATCCTCCGTTGAAGGAAAAATTAGGGAGACAGAGTTCGTATCTTGGAATTTTCAAGCTCATTTTCAAGATTCTCATATAGATAGAATCTTCTTTTCGAAAGAGATTAAGATATCTCGCATCGGCTGCAGGAATAATATTCTAAATTCGTTAATTTCTGGAAAAAAAACAGCTTATTACATGGAAGATATGCCAAG